GCTACGCACTATCGCGATTTCGTCTTACAGCTATAAATATTTGATATAATTAAATATAAAGAATTAATGAAATGAAGGTATTAATAGAAAATGCATTACATTTATTGAACTATTTATTTCAATTCGATTTTATTACTCGACGTTAAAAGTGCGAAGTGTTATTAGGTCATCGAGGGATGATGATCTGCTTGGACATTCGATTAAATATTCTCGTGTATGGTCAATGAACTCTAAATTCATTGATGGTCCACGAGTTAGAAAAGTGAACGCGAAATGTAAATTAATTTTTTAATGATTGAGAATTAGAATCATAACAAAATAAGAGTTCATTTGCAAAATTAGTATGAAAGATCTTATCTTTCTCGCACGTAGGAAATGTCCAAATGCAGTTTTCATAGAATGAAGAAAGAACAGGCTTAATGCCGAAGAGGCCCCCACATAATTGTGGCTGAAGAGGGCAACTACTGAGACTAATGAGTCATTTTCAAAGGTTCAACAGTAAGTTCGAACCTTTAGAGAATGGCTCTCTAGTCATATTTTATATTTAATTGTTTTACTTTTTTGCTCGTCATTAATTTGTAATTGTAATTGGAGATGATGGATCATTCCATTTCCTTGGTACACCAAGTTCGTGTCTAATCGTCAAAAAGATGCATATTTGTTTAGTTAGTTAGAGTCATAAATATATAGTCAAAAATTTTTTGTATTATTAAATTTTCAAGCTTAATTAACTTTTTGTAAATGTTACAGTAATTTCTTTTGTCTTGTTCCGTCTTTAATATTTTTCATTGTGATCGTATTTTATTAATTTGGCAATATTTTTCTTTTTTATATAATGCAGTTTAAAAGTATTATTCATAGTTATTAATAGATATTATTTTGTCTGCTAACTTAATATTTGTACTTTTACTTTTGTATTTTTTTTATTTTTTGCAAATGTAAAATCACGCGTTTAAATTTAATTACATTGCAACGGTAAATAGAAATTTGATAGAAAGTAAATAGAGAATTCAATTGAAAAGTGCATCTGCGAATTGGACGATTTATATATCAGGCTATTACTGTACCACTTGATTATATGTTTAATATAGTTTTATTTTTGTTACAGGTGATCCTCGTTGGATTTAACAACATACCTTTTTGACTCTCCTCCTGCTTTTTATAATATATGTATAAATGCATTTCTGAAGGCACACATATAAATACTAAATATGAAATATATATATTTAAAAGTCCATAATAAATAAAACATTGATTATTTGCACAGGTTTAAAAAAGATTTTAAATATGTTTATTATTAAAATGTTTAATTTATTAACATTGCTTTTTCAGATTTAAGACTTTAATGGATCTACTTGTTTTTTGTTTTGTTTTTACAGACATTTTTTTCTGTCTACTATTAAATATAAAATTATTTTCAAAATAAGATGAACACAACTATTCCTAAGAATTTAATACGTGTAACGAGATATGTGGTAACATCTTCGAACTTTGTACAAAATTGCTGGTGGACTTTGTATGGTTTTCTATTTCCCAGAGTAACATTCTCATCATCGTAATTCTTGTCATTAGTTTTGAACAGAAATATACGTGTCGAGATATAACGTAAGCTATCCGTCAAAAGTACAGGTTACGTAGTTAAACACATGCATACATGGGATACACTGTTTTATAATGTTTCGCAATGTTGCTTGCGGGTTTCATCGAGCTCCCTAGATGCACACACACGCACACATACATACATACATAAATATATATGGTATGATAGAAAAGAGAGAAAACTTTTTTACTAAATTGCGTCTTGTATGAAATATATATATATATATATATATATATATATATATATATATATATATATATANTATATAAATGTCTTAGGTAACGTTAGGTCTCAGTAGAATCGATAAACGAAATCGTTAGAAGGTTTGAAATAGCTAAGCAATCGAAGGAATTAGAACACCTGGACACTCTCTTTTTCCGTTGATGTAGATAATCGATTGCGATATCAAGAGAGATAGTTCCAACAGATTGCCTGGAAGGTGAATCAAGTTTGAAGCCCTGAAGGCATCGCGTCCTAAGATATTACGTTTCGCTTTACACTAGATATTAGAAACGCCAATAATGGCAAAGAGCTTAACTCTAAAACTTGATTTGATCAAACGATTCTAATGTCGATCCCGTAATGGTACTCAACCAACTAAAGGGATCATTAGGCTCCATATTTTGATTTTTTAATTTATTTTTTTTTTAATGCTAAAAATAAATCAAATAAATCATACGTCAGTAGATCGATGAATGAACAAGAAATTTATTTCAATTTAAATAAAAATATCGAAGTTTCTTTTTCTGAGGTCGAAAACTGATTATAAAAAAAAAAAAAACTGAAAAAAGTAGAAGATATGAATAAATACGATAGGAAAGAAAAATCGATAATTATCGAAATATCGATCAACGATGTAAAAGAAAAGAAAAGAAAAGAAAAAGTAGATGTCATTATAAGTTATCCGTCGTCAGCGCTCGAAACGTTTCGAAAAAGGCCCTCGTAAAGGCGAAAAGGAGGCTCTCGAGGAAGGCTTTTCTCTCGCCAGGGAACAATCGAGTCTTCAAATCCAATGTTCGGTGGCTCAATGATAGGTACTCTCGGCAATGACGACAATAACAAGGCGAGCTCGACGAGAAAGAAAGAAAGAAAAGAAAAAAAAGAGTTAAAAAGCGAGAGAAAGCTTAGGTCGGGAAATCGTCAAAAGGCTTGGAAGAAATTCTACGTGGGAGTGGAATTAGAGCATCAATAGAAGATTCTATCGATTGCTTCAAACCCGGAAGGTTTTTCGCGGTTGATTTACCATACTCATTCAAAAATTCTTAAGTGTATTTCTAAGTAAATCATGGAAAGTTATGAGACTCTTACTTTGATACATAAAAAAAAGTAAATATTCAAGTATGTAAATATATATATATATATATATATAAGATAAAAAATCGAAATGCAAATTTAAGCACTAAATGTTGAAATTTTCAATATATCAACTGCATTTGCATTGAACATTTATGTACAAGCTATGTAATTCATTTTCCAAAATCAAATATTGAACAAAATGATTGACATACGGCTAAATTGAATGTAATCCAAAATATGACCAAAAAAATCCATTAATTTTCTATTAAAATGAAAAAAAAGAAGAAATGAAATAACTTTATGAACAAGTCATTCGAATACTTACTGAAGGTTCTATTGTAAATGTATATTAAAACAGTTGATTTTAGGATTACGAAGGATATACTCTAATCGAAAGGAATTATATTTCATTTGCGTGATCTTATCATCGTTTCCGATATAAATTAGACTTTTAAGGAATATCACAGATATCCTATAAACGTTATAAAAAGAATAAAAGGAAAGAAAAGAAAAGAAAAGAAAAAAATAAGGTAGATAATGATCGTCGTCATTATCGAAGGTAATTTTCTTTGAGGTAAAGGCCTTTTATACCGAGGACGTGTAAATCACACTTATCCATATACAACACAACAGCTTGAGAAGGCATTGACGTCGATTCCGATTAAATCCTTTTTATTCCTATTTTTTTTTTTTCTTTTCTGTTCTTTTTTTTTTACCTAACGGAATATGATTTATGATTGGACACCAATTCTGACGCGTGTGTGACTCACGCACGCTAGTAAGACATTTTACTGTTACCGTCAATCTTATTACTCTACTAACTAATAATAATCCTATCAATCTGAACGTGTTCTCACAAAAATGTCTCTTTGCTATCTGTGACAAATATTTCTTATCGGATATGTTCTCAAATATTCTTCTTTCATTTACTTACTTTGTACTATCTTTAGCTGTGCGTCCTTGACTCTTAACAACTCTATCGTGCTCTCATTAAAAAAAAAAAAATAAAAAAAAAAGGAAGAAGAGACAAAAGGCAAGGAACAAAAAAGGAAAGAAACTCACTTGCTCCTCCTTCTCTTCCTTTTTCGTTTTGTACATAACGGACGAGAAGGCTGCGATTATTCGTCGTGCGATTTCAGAAGCAACATGGGAAAGGGAAAAGGAGGAGGAAAAGGAACGAAGGGGTAGAAGCCTTTTGTTATCGCCGACCAGTTATTCTGGTGGGTCAACTTTTTTTCTCACCTGATTCTCACAAAAGCCTTGTTTCCTCTAACGGAGGAAACTGCGGTAAAATTTTGCCAGGAACCATGATGCATGCACGCCTATAGTAACAAATTTCAATTATTCTATTTTATCTAACACGGTATATAAGTCAAATTTGTTTTCAAACCTAAAAATAATGGTGGGGAGGAAAGATGTTATAGGATAAAAGGATTTAAACAATAATAATAACAACAAAATCAAATAAAAGAAGAAGAATGAAATTTCTCTTGCGCAGCTAATAATTCGCCCTATCGAGCTGTTCACTCGTGTGAACTCAACGGAAAGATAGAAACTTGTGTGTTGCATGTTACGTTTGTACTTCATGTGTGTATATTAGAAAAAGAAGTTAAGTTAAGGAGAGAGAAAAAGGACGAGAAAGAGAAAAAAAGGGTAGAAAGTGAGAGAACGTTTGTGTTGTGTGTGTGTGTTGTGTGTGTTGCATGCATATGTTAGAGAGAGAAAGAGCGGTGTCTCACGGGCGGGGCCCGTAGAACGAAAGAGATAGGAATAAAACGGAGAGAAAGAGGGGAGCCTGAATCCCGCAGCGTAAAACTAAGCATGCCACTCGTGGCGTCTCAGTCGCAGGATCGCACGCGCATCGTCAACGCAGCGGCGACTGATTCTCCTTCCACTTTTACCGGTCATCATCGTCACACAAACACATACCAACATTTACACGTCAAGTTTATCACCACGATCATTCTATGTATCATACATATGGTATATATAATCATATATATAGAACTTTGCTTCTTATAGTGAGAGAAAGAGAGAGAGATAGTGAAAAAAGTATTGGAAAAGGAAAGATAAGGTGAGAAAAAAGGAAGAAACAAAGTAGAAATATATATATATATACATATATCTACTTACACATATACACCCATATATATCCCTTCTCTGTTTCTCTCGATATTATTGAACGGGTTAAGTTCGTCAGGGCGAGAAAAGAAAAAAAAAACATTGTACGAGAAAGGTTATATATATATATTGTTTCTGTTTCTGTTTTACTCGGTTCTCAAAACGTGGCGCGTGATTTTCTTCTAAAGAAACACACACGACATACGTATGTAAGTTTTGAGGTTAGGAAGAGTCAGACTTTTTCATTCGTAAATTTTTTCTCATCGTATTTTATCATTTCAAATTATTGCTCGATTTAATCTCGATGTGTTTTATTTAGAAGAAACAAAGTAGTGTTTGTTGTTACGCAAAGAGAAACTGCAGGTGTGTGTTGTTTAGTTTTTCATATTCGGACGCGCCCGCGCACATGTTAGAAGGAATAAAAGAGAGAGAGAGAGAGAGAGAAGGGTAGACAACAGAGAGGGTAGGTCATCGTGTAGAGAGTAGTAGAGACGTCGCTTGAATCGAAACACTGCAGCCTGGTGAGACTAAGACGAACGACAACGAGCAACGAAGACACCATCAACATCGATAGAAACGAACTGAGTTTAAACGTTGAAGAATTAACAGTGTGCGAGAGGAAGACAGAGAAAGCGAAAAGGGGTACACGACCGTTGGTTATGTTCCATTGGAAAGAAGAAGAGACTGAGAGAGACTTAATGCCTTAGGATAGAAGAAGAAAACAGCAACATTCTATAAGTCATACCAATGACGTAAGGTAACGGATCTTTTGTTGTTTATCTTTATTTATATATTTATTTATATATTTGTTTTCTTAGAATATAAATATGTGTCGTCTGATCCTACTGTTGCTCTTATGATTATTGATTTATATATATATTCGAAATTATAAAGTTAATGATGCGTAGGATTATTTCAGATCAATTATTGATCATCTTTTATAGCTGTGGGTAGACATTTTGGGTAGGTTTGAAGTAGTAAAAGATACGTTTTATATATTTGTGTGGGTGTTGTGTATGGTGTGAGTGTATGTGTCGGGAGTTCAAGGAGAGGTTAGGTTTTTCGTTTTCCCTTTTGTATTTGCGTGTCCGAACTTATATGTCTTTCTTCAATTTTGAAGCATTAAAGTCACCAATCTATTTGTTAATTTTTAATCAACGATATTTTGATGCGATGCAATACATGCAGTTGATATAAATCGATATTTCATTAGGTTCCTTTCTCGTGTAACCAGATACGGGATAAATTCATGTAATATATGTGCTCGTATCGATTCTTTCAGGTCACGTACGTTAAAAGGACTATGTCTATCTCTATCTTATGTATTTTCTTATTAAATTTAATTATCTTTCGTAACAAAGAGTTGGTCTTTTGACTCTCTAGGTCATTTGCATTGATAATTCTATGATAATCTTATTTTAGTTTATGTTTTTAAAAGATATATGTTTGTGTATGTGTAAGCTTTGATCTGTAGGATGTATTTAATCTATTAATTGCCATAACCTTTAATGTTTTAAGACGCTCCTTTTGTAGTTTCAAGGAAATTATTGTCCCGCATTGCGATGATAAATTCCCTACGGTTGTTAGATAAATTTAGCTATAATTTTCCTCTTGTCGGTATTTAGAGAAGCTTCATTAAAGTAAATTAAAGGCTAGCCTTCGTCGAAGCGCGTAGATTTTCAACGAGTATCTCTTGGTTGGCTTTGTGTATAGCATAGAGTTCGTTATTAAATTTAAAGATCGTCTATCCTCGTGCTGTACGATCGTTAGAGATTATTTTCTTTATTGTGTAACTGATCTTCGTACAGTAATACTTTGGATACTACTATGTTGTTACGATAAAAATCGGAATTTGTTCGATATAAAAGAAAAAAAAATAGAAAAACATGGCATGAGTCATACGTGTATACAACACAAGTAATTTCAAATTAAACATATATATGGCAAAGAAACAGAAGTAACGTTAGATCTCGTATTATCTTATGATAATTATCAAATATGAATCAACACAATTTTCTTTGCTCGTTGAACGAATCTTGTAAGAGTAATAATGCATCAAATATTCGATGTTATCATTTGATAATAATTCGAGGAGTTATGATAAAAATTGGAATTAATTTGATAATGAAAATGTTTATTATCACAAACAACAAAAAACCAGTATGAGACGTTACTCATACATGCACACACACACAAACTAATCCAAAATAGAAGAAGAAGGAAAAAGAACCGAGAGAGATGATTAGCATTGAAATACAAAAATGACTTCGTAGAGAAAGAGAGTGAATAACCTAAAATTACATTAGAGCTTTCATTTATTATACGCCCTAAAGTAGAAAAAAAAGAAGAAGAAAAAAAAGAGAAAACAAAGATAGATAGAAAAGTTTTCTTCTTTTTTTTTTTTTTTAATTTTCATGTTGCGTTCTTAGAGGATCTCAATTATAATTGAGAAATAGCGGCACGTAAGAGCAGTTGTTGTTGGAGAGGAGGAACATCATCTCTTTTATAGAGAAACTTGGTGGTGCGTTTCTTACACATAGACACACACACATATTTGATTTTATTTGAGCGTGTGTAAAGGCACTTTATCGAGTAGACGTCGACGTAAACATACGGAACGTGTAGAAGCCGCGCTTTGGATGGGTATATGTTTGTATGTGTGTATATATGAAAGATATATCTGTACAGAGAAAGAGAGAGAGAGAGAGAGAGAGAGAGAGAGTAGTAGAGTCAGAGTCGCGCACGGAAACGTGACGGTCTCGTACTACCTGTTATGCTCAGACTCGTTCCCACGGTTCACGCGTGGCTTTCGAGCCCCGTGTGTCCGACCCGTTTCTCTAGCGTGCGTGCGTGCACCAAGAGTTAGGGATATTCGTGAGAGAACCCTAACGCCGAATTAGTTTTCTTTCTTTCTTTCTTTCTTTCTCTTTCTTTTTTTTTCATTTCATTTCATTTCATTTCATTTATCTTTGTATTCAGGTATATTACGTATATTGAGAGAGAACATTTTTTTCTTGTGTTTTTTTTTTTTTTTTTATGAATCTACCAATTGGTCTCTAATGCTTTTTTTCTATATGTCAATCATTAGTTATTTTTTTGGTCTCTTTTTTTTTTATTTTGCTTCATTTTCTCATTAGAATTATTGACAATTGTTATGTATTATTTTTGATTAATTATTTGAATTTATTAAATAATTGAACGTTGAGATTGTAGAAAGATCTTGAGGAGAAGATACAGTTACAGTTCGAGTTCCCATAGGATTATTGAGTGGAAATTTATCTTGTTTTTTTCTTTTGTATGAATTAATTTCTAATCAATTTGAACATCATTTTGTACTATAATAACATCTAATTGTAAGTACTTAGTTTATATATATAAAAGTATATAGAAGTTGTCCTTATCGAGATACAACGGTCAGGAAATATTGCGTATCTACGATGTTAGCGAACCACCAATCCGATTATTCCCTGCTCGACGAACCGTAAAAAAGCCTGAGTCACGAGTTCGAAAATGTCGTCTGGTGGACTCTTTGAAAATACTCGTGAGAGAGAGAGGAAATATCCCGTTTAGTGGAAAGTAGAAAGATAAACGCGACCACTCTAATGGTTCTCCGCGGATTACTCTACTCCTTCGATAAGGAAAAAAAAGAAAAATAAAAAGAAAAAGGAGAAGATCAGCAGTAGCAGCAGCAGCAGCAGCAGCAGCAGCATCAGCAGCAGCTTCATGTTGGCCTATCTGCATGGGAGCTTGGTGACTCACGAGGCCTTCTAAAAGTAGCCGTTTGCCGATAAACAGGCTCTCCTATCGCCAGGAGTCACGTCCATCTTGAAAAACTCACGGATGTTTTGTATAAAAAAAAAAGCATGTCCATCATTTCTTTCGTTAAAAAATATTATATATACCGTGATATAACTAATCATTATTTTTCTAACAAGAGATAAGGCTTCACAGCAAAAGGATCACTTAACGTTCAAAACACACAAATAAAATGATCGAATAATCAATGAACCAATAAACCTTAACAAGTCGATCTAATAAAAGTCCACATTCGTTGGTGCGTAAGAAAGTGAGAAAGTATAATAAGATAATCAAAAGAAATGGAAAGGAAGTTGTTGGTGTTCGGAGTTACGTTTCATCGATCCTTAGAGGTTGTAGTAGTTTTATCAAGCTGCTTCGTCGAATAGAAACCACCTCTCCTCCTTCATCTTTTAACATCTCGAAAGCCTAGCAGGAAATCGCGAGAAAGTGCATAATGCGGCTTCTTGGGGAAGAAAAATATTCAAACGGGAAGTATTGAGTCACATAGTAGAGAGAGTTACGCAAAACCTTTCACGGTGGTTGGATCAAAGAAATTACGGAGGAATAGTCTCTCCTCTCTTTCCCCTCACTTTACCTTTCTCCCACCTTCTTCTCCTTCCCCCTTTTCCTTCTTTTCTTGTACACACACACGCGTATGCTGCGTGTGCACTCGAATTGAACGAGACGCAGATCTTGATAAATTCGTCGCTTTCTCTCTCGTTACCTTCATTATTTTCGTATCTTCCTTTTTTCGTGTTTGTTAGATAGAAATATGTAGTGTGTATGTATATCTGTCTCTGTGTGTCTGGCCATGTGCAATCATGCAGAAAAAAACCTGCATCATTCTTACTTGCTTGCTCGTTAATTCTTTCATTCGTTCGTTCATTCGTTCGTTCGTTCTTCTTTAAAAACGTGAACAAAACTCGTCCTATTTTTTTGAACAAAATTGTTTTTTTCATCTTTTATTATTATCGTATAATCCCTAGAAACGACCTAGAGTTTGAAATCCAGTTCTAGAGTTATCCGCGTATTACTAGGTTGCTTATATCGTACTTCCTACCTACCTAGCCTAATTGCAACTTGATGGTCTGGAAAGGATGAGATTTGATTAGAACAAAAAGGAGGCTACTAACAAGAGAGGGTTATGACGATTCTTTTCTTTATTCTACTTTACCCTATTCTATTCTATTCTATTCTGTTCTATTCTATTCTATTATATTCTATTCTACTCTACTTTAATTTTTGTTCTCTTCATCCTCTTTCGTAGAATTATCGAGTTATTACGTATATCTAGAAACGTGGAAATCGTTCTTCGATAATGTAATAGTCCTAGTGAATAGGAGGAGAGTATTACGTTTTTAGTTTGATAGAAAATATAACAAATATATTTCTTATGTGTATCATATTTTGATTTAATTACAAACTTAGGCAAGGAACGTTTTCAAAAGTAATTACCCATTTCGTAAATTTAAAAGTTTCCATCGAGATTTAAAAAATATTGTTAATTGAAATACCGACAGAGTAAACAAAAAATAACAAAAATATTTGATTATATTAGTTATTTTTTTATTTTATTTACAATATGGAATAGAATTTGTTGATAGGTTTAATATATATATACACATATAACTGACCTGAGAGTATAAAGAAAGAAAGAAAGAAATATTATCCCGAAGTTGAGTTCATCCAGACAGGTAGTCTTTAAGTTCGCTCGTGCTTGGGAGGTTTGGCCGATCGGTTTGCTTTGAGCTAAGTCTTCTCTCTTTCTTCGGGCGTTCATCTTTATTCTTTTCTTTATTCCTCTTTCTTTCTCCCATCTCTACCCCATCTCTACCATTTCTCTCGTTCCTTCTCTTTTCTTCCACATGAAAGACGGAATCGCGTGACCGCCTACCTACCTACCTGCTAACTTCAAATTACTTTCTTGGAAGAAGTGAGGAATACCGTTTCCCACACCAA